GTGACAGACAGATCAATCATTAAAACATTTATATATATATTTAGTCAAATTACGGCTTAATTTTATGGCCAAACGTTTTGAAAAACCTTTATTGGTTGTCAGATTTTTTTTTTTATTCCTTGAATCTGGCTTCAGATTAGTGGTCTGTTTGGGTGTTTAWTTTGAGCCTGGAACACTTCTACTATTTTTTTTTCCTGAGGTCAAACATCAGTTTTGCAAGTTTGAACAAAATCACTAAACTTCAGAATGGTTTGTTATGTTATATTATAAGTAAGAAAGTAAGTGCATTGAAAAGAGAAAGTGGCTCACATTGCAGCGTGCAGTTTTCAGGATTTTACAGCAGGGGGCGCGATTGTGCAGCGTTTATGTTTAGACCTGTTTATTTTAGTGTTTACAAAATATTTCTTGGAACGTTAGTGAAGTAAATGCTTTATTGACAGACTGGGCGACCATTTAGTATTGCTTAAAACGTTTTTGGATGCAAATAAAACAATGGTTTGCCATYTGACAATAGTAATAAGAAAATAAAAGGAAATTTTTCAGATAATAGTGAGATATAAATGAATATTTATTCACGCAAAAGTATATATACGTAGATAAAAAAAATTAAATCAAACCAAAAGTCACATGTGTCATATACCTGTCTCAGCTATAAAGTTTTTTAAGTCATTCACTATTTACTATGATTCCATTTAAACGGCGAGCTCATTGTCCAACTGAAAGGGAGGGGTGGTAATATTGAGTGTATGTCCTTAATATAGCAACAAAAAGGTAAATTCATAGAAATTCTGCTTAGATATACAGGATTATATTCAACTTGATTCATTTCCTCGCGACTGTTTTGACTTTCTGTTCTGAAATTAGGTTTAATATTCAGTATTGTTGAATGAATCCCCCCTCTGTTTTTCTCGTGTTGGTATCGTCCGTCCCATCTGTTCAGCTCGGGTGAGACACTGATTGAAACGGATTGTAGCGCTTCACCGGGTCGCAATGGCAACAACCCCAAAAGGATGCGAGCGACAACTTTTTTCTCGTCTGTAATGTCCCGGAGGCACCGCAGGTCGCAAGAGGAACTACTTTCTAATGTGAGAAATAACACTCGTACACTTTCAGGAGCCCGAAAATGTCCCGGGGATGTCCAGTTTCAGTGGAGGAGATCCAGTCTTGGTGGGAAGTCCCCGCCATAGCCCACTTCTGCTCGCTGTTCAGGACGGCGTTCAAGCTCCCAGACTTTGAAATTGAGGTAAATATTTAACCGTGGAGCCATGCGGCTGCTCTGATGCCTTTAATCACGGAAATGAAGAGTTGTTTGTGTCAGCATTTTTGTCTGCGTGATTGCCGTTTGGCGTCAAACCAGCTTAGCGGTGTTCTCTGAACTTCTCAACCGAACCGATCCTGTTAGGTAACGAGCGAAGCAGTTCGTCAGTTGGGCTAAAAAAGCTAGCTTTAATGCTAGTTTTAAGTAGCTGTAATCGTGTCTTAACAGGTTTAAGTTAAAGAAAGCGTGCGCAACGCAACCTCGCGGTCCTGTTCACGTCCCAATTCAATTCGCTTATTCATTGAAGAGATGCTCGCGAGTAACTTTGCGGGTCGAACGGAACCATGYGCCGCTCTGTTTTCATTTGCTCGTGTTTACAGCGAAGTTGCTGCTTTTCAGGTCGCTGAATTGAAGCTGAGGAAAGTGCTAAGAAAGTTCCAGAGCGATACAACAACAAAAAAAGGTTAATTTGAGTGTGTTTGAGTTTAGGTGACAATAAAGTTGTATCAAAGTTGAAAAGGATGCGCTATAAATGAACGTGTTTTTACCCTCTGTGTGAGATAATGTTAAGTTCATGGCGTGTGGTTTGAGTTTATTGTCTTGCAGGCCATCTGGCTTGGGGTAGCCATAGGGACGCAGATGCTGTTCAGGCATTGTTTGCTCGCTCCAAGTCCCATTATGTTACCAAAAAAACGAGGGTTTAAACGTCTATTTACGACACAACTCCGATTATTTTAGTTAGCAAGGCGAAGGCGTCCACGTGCGCCTTGATCTTCTTACTTTTATTGCCCCGCGAGTGCTTTAATTTTAACTTTTACCACTCGATGGTTCATCTGCCCCCCTTCTCTCTGTTCTCGGGGAAAAGTAATGGGACTTTAAGGTGAAGTCGCGCTCGTCTATCACGTGCGAGCTCTGCAATCGTGATTAATGAGCATTGTTTTTATCTGTCGAGCGGAGACAGATAGCGTTTTAAAGAAAACGTTGAGGTCAACATCACACATCAACAGCCTCCATCACTCAGCCATCCCCACCCCCTTCGGCAGGGAAACACGTAGGCATCGGCTTTGTTGTTAAACAAGTGAGAGCCGGATGGGGGGTAGGGGGGTGGGTCACATTGCGCCTAGTTTACATGAAAGTTGAGGGTGTTATTTGTTGACGTGCTCCTTCAGATGAGAGGATTGGGTTTACTGGAAATTGGCTCGGTTTTTTAAAATTATCATTAGTCTAAATATGAATTACCTGGCTATAAACCTTGTTAGTTTTGTTGTTAAATGTTCTGATTAATGAAACTGTGAAAGCAACCATAAACAAGGTCACCCTGAGCTACATAAAGTGGCGTAATTTGAATATGAAGAGTTTATTTCAGTAGGTTTCCATGTGCAATTATAAAATCTGGGTACACACTCAATGTAAACAAAACAATTTTTATATGTTTACTCAGTGGTTGACAGCACTAATCTAAAAATGAGTTCCACTAAGCCCTAAAACGCTAACTMGAATATTTAGGTCTCCTAATTCTAAAGCATTAATGCACTGAAAATTTTAGCAAAAGCTAATTCTAAAGCACTAAAATATCACAGTCAACCCATGAACATTCTTCAACAGACAACATGGCTGTGTCCAAAATGGCAGGCCGGGTCCTCCGAAGGYCGAATTCGTCGGCCGCATACGTCACAGCGCCGCGACGAAGGACGTCCAAAACCGAAGACTCCTCCGATGCGGCCGACAAATACGTCCTTCCTTTGGCCCGAATCAAAGGACTGGTCTGATGGATCCTTCCTGGCCCAGCATATCCCATAATGCATTGCGGCCTGACCGGAGATTTCTTTAAGCTAGTAATGGCGGACGAAGCGAGAAAAAAGAATACATTTTAAATAAAAATATGGCGATATAAAAATTTTAAAAAAATTAGCGGTTGTAATTATAATACTTTTATCATTTGTATAAACACTTTTTAAATATTATTTTTGTCATAAAAAACACGAAATAAATATGCACCTACAG